TTACTGCTGTGTTGCTGACAATTACCTGAAAGAGAAGTTGGGGTGCTTCATTGGGCTGGAAAAAGTTTAGCGAAATCAGAAAGCAGGTCTAATTAAGCAAGTTTATTCTATACTAGAAGCCTGGTGCATAAAATTCATGCACTTGGACGGGGAGTCCCTCAGCATGGCCTGCAGTCTGGGAGCCCTTGGGGGATGTCTGACTGACGGCTTAGGCCTGCTTTCCCCTGGGCCTACGGCATCAGTTGGACATCCTTATCACTGCCACAGAGGCAGGAGAGGCTCCCGCCACCGCTGCTGCGCTCGCCAGCCGTGAGCCCGGCTTCTGGCTGAGTGGTACTCCCCCTGTGGGAGCGCAATGACCACCAGGGGGCAGCTCCTGTGTTGAGCGTCTGCTGCCTGGTGGTCAGTGCACGTCATAGCGACCAGTCATTCCACGGTTCGGTAGATTTGCATATTAGGCTAAGTTGACTCGCATATGCGTGATACATATAAAGTTCTTGCTGGCACAAATCGCACGTGTGTTTCTAGCTGTCATTGTTGATCATGAATTTGGTTGATACTTCTATTATAGAGAAAGGGCAAGTAATGATATTAAAATATTTCTTTTAATTAATTTCCTTTCATTGTGCACGAATCAGTGTACCGGGCCACTAGTTTTTAATATGATGTCATGAGTGAAGTCTCCCAGGGGAAGGAGCATGGAATAAAGTGCATTTTTCTCTCTTTTTTTTTTCAGTTCCGTTCTCTGAACTTGGTCTCCGAGTGCCTTTTTTCTCTGATAAATGGAGATGACATGTTTGCGACGTTTGCAGGAATGCACCAAAAAAGTTACTTGGTCTGGCTATTTAGCAGACTTTACCTCTACACGTTCATCAGCCTCTTTGTATATATGATTTTAAGTCTTTTCATCGCACTGATCACTGATACATATGAAACAATCAAGGTAGGCTCATCAGTAGCCATAACTGGCAGCATTTTCCTAGAATTTGTGGAGTGACAATAACATATAGTACCTATGGGGGAGGGGAATTAATGGAATGTTAATTTCTTCAGGGTAGAGAAGAAGGACTTCAGTTTTAGATACTGACAAACAGAAATGAAGGAGAAATAGAAGTGTAGAATGTTGGAAGTTTTATCTTCATGTAATTGTGCTTTTTATTAAAATTATAAGGATTAGTAAGTATTGTGTGAGTACAGCAGATGACCTTCCAGAAAGCCAGAATTTGGAGTGGTGAACTTTTTTTTTTACATTAATCTAATTGAAAATTTTAATTTCTATATAAATTAAATCTCTGAATTTGAGAAGACAAATATTAGTTGCAATTACCAAGGTAACTTGTTGAATAGACCTACGTTCATAAGGAACAACACAGAAGAGATCTGGAAATGAATAGGAAAGTTGAAAAAAGAAAAAGGACGTGGAAGTTTAAAGTCAAAGGAAAAATACAAAGTCATTAAAAAAAGAAAAAAGAGAGAGAAGAAATAATTTATATATATATAAAAGCCTAAGCTACCATTACAACTGGAACGACCAAAACAACCAGTGTTGAAAAAAGAAAAAGGACTTGGAAGTTTAAAGTCAAAGGAAAAATACAAAGTCATTAAAAAAAGAAAAAAGAGCGAAGAAATAATTTATATATATAAAAGCCTAAGCGACCATTACAACTGGAACAACCAGTCGACTGGTTGCTATGGCGCACAGTGACCACCAGGGGGCAGAAGCTCAATGCAGGAGCTGCCCCCTGGTGGTCAGTGCCCTCCCACAGCAGGAGCGCCACTCAACCAGAAGCCCGGCTCACGGCTGGTGAGCACAGCTGCGGTGGCGGGAGCCTCTCCGCCTCAGCAGCAGTGCTATTGAGCAGTGGCGGTGGCAGGCGCAGCGGGCCCGGATGAGTGACATTGGAGCTGTGCCTGGCCCTGGCTGGGGCTCCTCCCCAGCTGCCTGCTGCTTTGGCACTGCTGCATCCCCCAAGGGGCCCCGGATTGCGAGAGGGTGCAGGCTGGCGGGAGCCTCTCCCGCCTCAGCGGCAGCGCTATTGAGCAGTGGGGGTGGCAGGCGCAGCGGGGCCAGGATGAGTGACATTGGAGCTGCGCCTGGCCCTGGCTGGGCCTCCTCCCCGGCTGCCTGTTGCTTTGGCACTGCTTCATCCCCCAAGGGGTCCCGGATTGCGAGAGGGTGCAGGGGAAGGCTGAGGGACTACACCTGTGCACGAATCCGTTCATCGGGCCTCTTAGTGTTTAATAATATAGAAAAAAAGGTACCGATGGCATTAATCTCACATCACTTAGGTCATTTTTTGCAGTTCATTCTGTGGTATGCAGCTAGACAGACATTTGCGGAGCAAGGACAATGGGCAGGTAAATTGTCTTTACCCAGCAAAAGACAATTGTAGGGTGGGACCTTGCCCCCAGGGTAGCCTTTCTTTTCTCCTCCTAGCATATCGCTGGTCATGCAATTTGGACCCCCTGACCTTTCACCCTAGAAATAACATCTAGGCTTCAGTTGTATTTTAGTTCCAGGCCCAGAAAAGCAACAAAACCAGCTACAGCTGACCTCAGGACCAGCTGTCCTGGTGCTGCTGGGGTGGGGAACTTTTAAAATCCAGTTTTATAAAGAAAAATTGACCTCTTTTTTTGGAATGTGCTGTCACTGAACTCATTACTCCTTTGCATGGTCCCCTCCCCAGTTGGAAACTTGATTTAAAAAGCTGTTATGATTTGTATTATCATTCACAAGGGGCATTTTTACAAAATCCATTTAAGCCCTATGAAATATGGAAAGGCAGAATAAACATCCAGATAGGTTTAAATTTCGAATAACCTTGTATTGCTAGGTACACTACTGGCATAGGCACTTTCACTTGGAGACTTTTCTTTCTGGGTATGAGAGGCAGAATGAAATGAGATGGACCAGGGATTGGGAGTTGATGCATTACGAGTTGATAATTATGAAAACTTTGCTCAGGAAGCCAGGACCATGACTGCATGCTCACTGAATCAGATTTCAGGAACTGACTGCTTGCTTGGCAGATTTGTGCTTAGAGTCACCACTGTGACTGGGAAAGAATGTAGTTGTACCTGTCCAAATCCCTTCCCATGATGCTCTAAAAATCTACCACCTTCCACTCTGCATGCAGAGAACTGTATGTTCTTTAAAGGCGACATCCACTATCTCTAAGGGTAACATGACTTGACAACTTTCCATAACACAACTTGAGACTCATAGTTTAGATGTTAACTTCTTTTCGTGGGCTTAGAGCACTTCCAAATGGGAACGCTGAGTTATTTCTGATCCTTTGTGGTCAGGGCACCTTCTCGAGTCTTAGATCCCCAAACTGATATAAATATGAGGCCCTTAAACAAGGCTTTCTGTCCAGAAGAGAGACTCCCAAAGGGTGTGCAGACTGGAAAGGTCTCTCACAGCACTCAGGTCTTTGCTCAGACTCCTGAACCAGCTTAGGAGCATTCAGGGCTGGGCTGAGGAAGGCTAGGTGTGCCT